CACCGTGTCACGCAAAATTTGCCAAAAGTATTCTGGGAGAAACAGTTACATATTTATATACAATTATAACTCATCATTTTTATTCATAGACATAAGTCACCCGCGAATATTAGCCCTCATGAACATTCGTTGGAGGATGTTGGATATCTAAATGAGATATTTTATACAATACAACTTTGGAGGATATACAATTCCAATTTGTCCCCAACAGAGTTGAGCTGAGCTGAGACTAGTATCACATGAGTTTATATCAGGGGTCGGCAAACTGCGGCCCTCGAACGACTTTTGATTCATAAATCAAAAATTGATCCTAAATGTATTGTATCCAAATGGATCTATTTGGGAACAAGTTCCGCTTGTTTCATAGCAAGTAGTGTCAGTTGTATGTCGTTTACTTGATGAACGTCCCATCGTTGTTTGCAGCTCTATCTAATAGGTATTACACTAAGATTAAGTTTCATGTCCGCTTGTGAGATCGTCAATTGGACGGCGTACTGCGGGGCAACGAAGGTGTCACTTTGGCTAGGACACAGAAACAACATCATCCTTCACATTGTTAAAAAGTAAACGAGATAGCGATCGGAGACCGCCGACTTATCGATCTAGCGGCGTGTTTCCTTTACTATGACTCAATAGCGACATTGCGTGTCCCATCACTAATTAATTAATAACTTGATAAGCATACGACATAACTCATCCAAAATCAATAGGCTTCTGGTCCGAGGTATGATGAATGCACATGCAAAACTTTCTTCGCTTTCGTGACATATCGCGTGTGTCTAACAGACAGACAGACAAGTACCTATCAACATACTTACCGATCGAGATCGATAAGTAATAAAACATGCTTTGTTTGATGAAATATATAAAAAAGGCAACATACACGTCTTATTGTAGCAGCCTTTCGACACAGCAATAGAAGGTGCGAGTGCGCCATAATTTGAAGTTAAATGTGGCGATTGTTTATAGGCGGAAATTAATGCGGCCCGCACGTTACCGGTAAAGTGGATATTTGGCCCACAAGTACATAAAGTTTGCCGACCACTGGTTTATATGATCCCGTGGTATATGTTTTTGACAAGATTCACAGAGCATCGCAATATATTATAATTTTAAACACACACTCACTGGCATTTCAGTCATAAGTGGCTATTAAAAACGAAATTCTTGCCTGATCGAACATTATGTTGTTGAAATGAACTACTAATATTTTATTTGGTTCCCACTTCAGTTAAAATGCATCTTCTACTTGCCCAAACACTATAATTGACATCAGCTGCCGGGAAAATGGTTCAAGCGAGTCCATAAATATGAAAATTATAGTCAGGCTCAACACATTTTTTGAAATTATTCTACCTATTCATGTTCGAAGTTTGTCGTTATGAACTATTTTCGTTGTGCTACCGAGACCGGCAATATTCGACGAACCAAGAAAATGAACATAAACTTTGGGCGTCAGATAAAGATATTTGATAAACCTCCTTTCGAAACTTTATTCCAATCTTCGTCAGAAAAGGTAAAGAATCAGATTTTAGAGTGATTTCAGATTTATACCAAAATATGTGACATCATAGCATCACAGTATTTAGGGTTTTTCACATCTATGAGAAAAAACTATCAACATCTCCCCGAGGGCACAAATGAATAGGGAGTGTGAAATGCTAGATATTGAATTTTGTGATTTTTAAATAGGTATTTACTGATTTAAAAGCCAAAGGCCCTTCGCTCGCGACTAGAAACGTGTATTATGACGTCATGTTTTTTGTTGCATGACGACTTAATACAGCTTTAAACTCCTTACTTGTTTTTAGTTTACAAATCGACTTGCGAAGTGAGCAATGTTCCTCATAACTGCAATTTTGTATATTCATTAAATGTGGAAATCCAATTACAGGGAGTCCTCGACTCACGACGTTGTTCCGTTCTCGAGACGCGGTGTAACCCGAATTTCAGTGTAAGTCGGAACACTGTAATAAAATGTAAAAATGATGCAAAAAAGTACCTTATTATTAAAAAACAGAAAACAATTCCATATCACATGAATAAAAGCAAATACTGTACAGTATTATCTTTTATTTTTCTTATGAAGTGCGTTCGTAACCTCGAAACAGCGCTATGGAGTGCGCGTTCGTAACCTCGAAACAGCGTAAGTCGCGACCGTCGTAACCCGAGGACTCCCTGTATAACGTCATAATGAATTTCGTGGGAAATTAAAAGTTCATCAAACGTCATAATGTAATTCGACAAAAAATATGACGTCCTAATCGATTTTTAGCAATATGTAAAATACAGAATATTACATCATACCATTTTGATTTATAAATGCCTCCTCTTCCTTTCAGAAATCATTGGTACGCCACTACCGGTATCTTACGCTCATTAAACGTACTCTAATAGTCTCAATGACATATATAAAATGGCAGAAATATATTATTGAATACAAAGTGGACCTATGAAGCAACGGCAATTTGATTGTGACGTAATAATGGACAATTGCACGATGAAGTGAACGAAAATGCAAGATGAATCATGATATGCCTAATCGAAACATGATGAATTAGTAGTAGTTTGTAGTTTTAGATGTTTCCTTAAAATAACAAATGCGAAAAGAGCTGCATGCGACACGCGAGCCTCGGGTTTGCCACCTCTATTGTAGATCAAGCTTTGTGTTAGTGAGTGAGTTGAAGTGAGTGAGTCAGTGTGTTGAACAATCATTACATCAATCTTCCAATTTCCGTATTTGAAGATGGAATTTTTCTCCAGAAGGCTACTACTTTCATTTATTTCTGAATTTTGTATGGATTCCATGAAATTTGATATTTCGTCCAAAATTTCGCTGTATAACTTTTTAATTATGGGAACACTGTTTTATTCTGCCGAGCGTGACGGCGGATCAGGAAAATACATGCTATTCAAAACTCGTGAGTTTTACGAGATTACCGGTGATGATAAAGGTACGGTAAACCGTACCGTACTGCTTCGCTTGCTTGCAATATACTTGTAGGAAAGCTCAGTATACATCAAGAATCTTAGCGCGTAAGTCGCGAGTGAAACAGCTATTGAAGACTAAGCCACAACCCTGTGAGATTGACCACTTCCCAGAGAATTGGTGGTGTGAACCCTGGAAGTGCTACCAAACTGACACAGAAAAAATTTCAGAACGATTGGGCAAATGGAAGTGGGCCAAAGCAGGCTTGTAGTGGCCCGGAATAGGCTACCTGTCAATCAAACCATCGATCAAGTCACGCTAGAGTGATTTTGGCGTTTAAAGGCCGTTAAGCTTCGTTCTCGGTGCGGGAAAGCGTTTGCTCGAGTATTGGAAATTATTTTCAAGTGGCGTTGGGGTGGGGGCAGTGCCTCCGCCCCCTCAGTGGTGAGAAAACGTTTGGAAAGCCACGCCCACTTGTTACCTAAACCAAAAAGTTGCTTTTCTCTTTCATTACTGCACCAATTGCTCTGAAGTTTTCAAAGCTCAAAGATAAAAAAATTTCTCCAGAAGACTATTACTTTCATTTACTCCAAACGTGTCCATATATTTGAGCATAGCTCTCTTGTTATTATCGCAAATATATATGTATATGGTATTATTTTATGTTTCACCCATTTCAATTTACGGCGGCACATTATATGATAGTTTTTCTTTGTGTGAAATGATTTTGACTGTGTCTTTTTTGTCTAGAAGCATAATGAGTGCCCGACATTACATATATTGCGCAAATATATGTTATTTTTCTCTGTTCCGTTCATTACAATTTTTGCCGGTCCGCGAGTACATTTTTGGTTACATGGCGACTTAATACAGCTTTAAACTCCTTACTTGTTTTTAATTTTCAAATCGACTTGCGTAGTGAGCAATGTTGCCTGTAATTGCAATTTTATATTATGAACAAATGTAGAAATCAAATTATTATGTCATAATAGATTTCGTGAACTGAGTTCATTATCACGTCATAATACATTTCAGAAACTACAATATTACATCATCTTATGTCGTCACATATCTTATGTCGTTTCAATTATAAATGCTCTCCCTCTCTCTTCAGAAATTCTTGGTACGCCACTACCGGTATCTTACGTACTTCAAATAGTCTCAATGACATATATAAAATGGCAGAAATTTATTACTGGATACAAAGTGAACCTACGAATCAGAGACAAAGCAAAACGTAACATTTATGAAATAAGGCTATTACTTTCATTTATTTCAAACATTTCTGTGGGCTCCATGGGATTCGTTTTTCACTTTGAAGTTTTGTGTCGCGATGCAACCATAGTGTCCCTGTTTATGTTATGTACATATTTTTTTTTATGTTTTTATACTAAGCTGATTTCTTATTCGATGCTGTTTTGTCTGGTCTGAGAATTGTGTTAACGTCCGAAGTTGTATTATGGGACTTCGACCACCCATAACACGTGCTAGAGAAAATGTATTTCTTATTGGAGGAGGTCGGCTGCTTCAGTTGTGTCTGATGCTTCTCATGGGTTGTAGCACCCGCATATAGATTGAACCCGCTTTGAGTGGGTGTCTGTTATTTATTTTTTAACGTAGATTGAGCTCTGTGTTAATGAACAGGTCAGTGTGATGAATGATTATCAAATTAAACTTCAATTTCCGCAGGAAAGGTTGGTATCAAAACTATCTGTACTTCAGTTCAAGGACATATTTTTGAATTTTGCTTTTGATCTGTGATACGAAGACAACAAAATCAGATTATTCAAGATAACTTGCAGGCTAGCATAAAATTTCACTAAAATGCTTAACAGAAAGAGCGGTATCAAACGATTTACATACTAAATAGTTAGTCTGGAGACCAGCTTGCTTCCGATTCGGAGCAAAAAAAAATTTGCAAAGCTTGTTATCGTCTTTCCCTCAACTTGTACTGCTTGAGTTGAATTAAGTAATATATTAACTAAACATTGAATCGAATGATTGACATCTGCTAATTCGCTCGACTCTGAGAGAATCTTTTACACGCATTAGAAATGGACTAGACCGAAACTTTTCTCAAGGTACATTTTATTATCTATATTATTCCAAAAATGACAAAATATTTGGTTTATATTTTTAGTTTCAACTGCAGATTCATTGTCTTCATTTGCGACTTCTGCATTCTTCTCTGGACCCCCATCGAGCGACTGGAGCAGTGATTGGATATTTTCGGAATCTTCCGGAAGCAAGATACTTCTTTATTGAAGGAATAGCCTAAAATGAATAGGCTACTTATTTCGCATGTAATTTTCATCATTTCCCAATATTAATTTGTGATATTAATGTTAAACAGTACCGATAGTATCATCAACCCGGACGACGTTTATGATTTAAACAAAGGATTCATTAAGTCTGATATGAAAGTAAAAAGATATTTCCATTTTTATTATTAAAAATGTACTCGGTTCGCCCCATCAGTTATTTTGTAAAGCAAACGATAGAAATGTACGAAACAGTACACAATACAATATATTGTACAAAAGATGACCAATAGTCAACACATTCAAAATGTGGCAAAACTAAAAAGTAATGTTAATATAGTCGCGACAATGCGCGACTGAAATTCACTATTAATCGGCGCTAACGCGCAGTCGACACTTGCGACATATATTTTCATTTTACCTCAAAATCTCCAACATATTTTTTCAATCTTGGAAATGGTTGTAAGCAATTTTCGTTGAGACAACATATTTTCTTCAGCAAAGAGTAGAATTGGAAGTCCAGATATGTGATCTATAGATATAAATAACAAAAGTTAATAATGACCCAAATCAAAAATTGTAATCTCACAATCTACTAGGAAAAATTTTCTTGCACGTATTATATTGAATATTAAAAGTTCAATGTGAAATAACTGGTAAAGCTGTTACAAATACCGCATTCAAAGTAAACCAGACCACGTTAACGAAATGCTACATCCCCTGATCTGCATTTATTTCACATTAAAGATGTAGATTTTATAACCAGCAACGGCAACGACATTGAACTCAAGTATTATGATATTTTTGAAATAAACCTCATTGGAAAGAAGCCACTTTTTGTCGCCCATGATTTTAATTGCGCCCCCCACAAATTCAGGAAACGTCTTTTCTCGAAAAGTCTTCAATGCTTCTTCGTACTGTTCAGGCCTGTATGAAGATTTTTAAAACATGTAACGAAAAAATCATCAAAATGGCTACAAGAGGCACCATTTTATGGTGATCTGGTACAAATGGCCGTGTCGTGGGTGCATGTAGGTGTAAATGTCCATGACGCAAATTTTTGTGAATGTAAATTGAAAAACTTGGTTTACCGCTGTGAAATCTATTGCCATATACGCTATACTGGTATCGTATAATATCTATATTAGTTATTAGTAGTAGAATAGGAGGTACATTGACCAAAACAAAATATACCCTACAAATAGTTTAATACAACAAATCGACTTACGGGACGAAAAACTCTCCATAAAACGTGTTTGTGAATCCTATCATTACACCTGCGAAAAGGACACATATATATATGCATTGGTTCATTCGATTCATTTTTAAACATCCGCGATTAAAGTTATGGTAAATATTAGACAACTGTAGTAAGATGTGTTGCGTATTCGGCCCAATTTAAATTTCGTTGCTATATATGTTTTAACAACATGAGCGATTATCTAAAAAATGATAATTTACGTATGCTGTACCTTCCAGATTGTAGGCTGTAGCCCGAGACTGATCGTCATCCTTCGGCATCATCCCATATTTTGAACAAACATATTTTAGAATTGCCATTGATTCTGTCATCTTCACATTTCCATCAAAGAGATAGGGAAGCTAAATTAAATCAAAAACATTAATGGTGGAGTTATGAAACTCTTCGGAGTATTGTGCAAACTCAATTAACATAGCGTGTAAGTGATTATGAGCATTTTGGCATAGTCAGACATAGACCAACGTAGTTTTCAAATATAAATTTGCCGAGTTTGTGAGTAACTACCTCAAAGCAAATTACGAACACGACGTATATAGTGAGACTCGAATACATTTACTCAAAAGATTGTTTATATGGCGATTGACATCTGTTTCGAATAAAGCCGACGGATAATTTGAAGCGACCCATAAAACTTTTATAGAAAAATCTTTCAATATCGATGAAGACATTTTTAGTGAGGCCGATTAAAGAATACTTTTTTACTTTTTATTATACTTTTCGGGTTTATCGAACGAGCACGTGCAAAAAGATGAGTCACGGTGATACTGTAGTGATTCCAAAACGAATGGGTCCCAATATCAGGCCGCGCCTTCAAATGGTATTTGATGGGTGAACGTGTTTTCCCTCAGTAAATTGGTACGTATTTACAAAAGAGAATGAGAGAAAAACTATTCTTGCAAACACGGTTACAATTATTTTCTGCCCAAGGTCTAGGTGACATAATAGAAGCGAATATTTAATGAAGGCCTTTTATAGCTTTATATAAATATTATTTCATTGTTAAATGAAAATATTGTTACAATATTTATTCGTCCATCTGGTGATTTAGCTTGCTTCATTTTAACAGGTTACAGGTATTCATCAAAAATAATTCGTTGCTTCTACCCCAGCATGTCCAGGAGCGATCCGCACTCACGAGTTCGTTTTTTATATAAAATATCCACTGGTAAATAAATATAAGAAACTCACGTTAGAAAATATAAGCCCCTGTTTGCGCAAAACTTCCTTGTCTAGTATCCATTCTTTGCGATCATGGGGTGGGTCTGAATATTACAAAAATGCGTTCTCTGTGAGTATAGTGAAAAATAGTTTATGAACTAAATTGAACCAGCAATTCAATAGAACAAATTCACAGTTTTGTTTGATCTTGCGGCGAATTAACACTGTTCGAAATATACGCGTCTGGTATAGAAATACCGCTATCGTATATACTCTCTTTTTCGTCTTTTGTTTACCTTAAGTGACATGGGGAGAAGATGAACCGAAATTCTCGAAGTCCGGTGACACGAAATGGTTGAAGCAAATGTTTGCCGAACAAGTGCCCGTTTCATCTTGGAGATTGTTGTTGTTGTTATATGTTTTATGGCGCTTATAACTTCAGTGGTCTTTTGCGCTTTGGATCAATTCAAATTTAAAAATACTATACTAACATATATAACATCATCTTGTAGCTTGGATTCACTTTTATAAGAGTAATCTTGAACAAAAAAACGACAATCATGTCAACAATTGAAAGCCAATAAATTTGAAACTGGAATAGTCCTCTCGGACACCTTATCGCCACGGCATCTCTGATCACAGAATACCTATCTCGCTTGTCAGGCCACGTTGCAAAAGCGAGTTTCAAGTGTTTCCAACCAAATATTGAGGCGTTTCCGTGATTTTAGGAAGGCATGTTTTTCACATACTCAGAGAAAAATTATTTAACTGCACATACCCGCACCCATCGTGTACAATTTTTCTTCATATTCAGCCCCGGCATATTCAAGGGCGTATCGAATCGCTTCCACTCTCTGTAAATATATAATTTATTACAAATATTGACACAGCAAAACAATCGGTTTCAGATCTAATTTTGCAGCCAGTACAGTATAACATATAATAATGCATCAAAGTAATAGTAGTTTTTTTTTCAAATAGGCCGCAAAGAGACTACTGCAAAGATGTTAAAATTTGTCTTGTACTTTCGGACAATACCACTTTCATAACTCTGAGAAAGCTATGGCAATTCTAATAGTATCCTGTCCTGTCGGTATATACGTCAGTCTATATCAAGGTGAAATTGTGTGCCCATCGTGTGTCATTATTGCATACTACTGGGAACACATTTCTTACTTCCTCACTTAGCCTATTCGAGCCTTTGATGAGTAGTAAAAATAATACTCACCCCACGAATGTCCCAGTATCCCAGTTTCATTTTACCCATACTGAAATCGTATTTAATCTAAATAAAAGTTCTGAACTGAACAAGAAATAGTTGTTTATTTAAAACACTGTTATTGCTAACTGAAGGAAATTAACTTTTGATTTACAGTAACGTCGTTACAGGTAGCAGAAAAGCATATTTTCTGGAAGGCGTGAAGATAAAAACACTCCCATCCAATTTACATTCTATGTGTGGTCTCTCTGTCCGGTCCCGCTAAGACTGACGTTGGGATTTTGGAGCATTACAACATTATATAATAGAACAAGTCTTTACACCGATCCCCTTTGTAATCAGACAAAATATTTACTTTTTCATTCTCAGTTCAACACTTGGATACGATTCACAAAACAGTCATCTGTGGCCCTAGTATATAGCCACGATACACGCAGGAAAGGCAAACATTTATAACTATGCTAATACTAGTAGAAATCATTAAAGGTGCATTGGCTTTCTCAAATCATAAGTAGTTTCTGAAACCGTAAAAACATCTATTTAACTGTCTAAACATTTGTCATCAAGTTCGTATTCAGTAAAATTGGCTATCCCAGGCATTCCGTTTATTTGGGTAGTGCTAACTAAAATGTAATTTAAGATATATACTTGTACGCTGAATATACGATGTACGCTATGTCGTGCGAAGTAAATATCCTTTCCTGAATATCGACTGATAAATTTAATTGTTTTTCATGCATCCATGTCCAAACAAATACTTAGAAACTATTTGTATCCCATGGTCGTTTAATGGAACAAAAGAGTTTTTTATTTCGTCTCCGACGACAACATATTCAAGTACACCTCTGGAACGTTGCTCCACTAAGGTTGTGTGGATAATCTTGTTATTTTAGTAAGATTCTACTGTTATTTTTTAAATTAATAATATGAATCGTCGTAAAACCAGTCAAATCAGATTTCCTAAAATTATAAACCGCCAAACAAGTTTTGCTAGTGGACATAATTAATTTAAATAGCCCCAAGCCATATCACAATGACGAATCAGTTTTAATACAATTCATCTTTGTACCACACTTGATTAGGACATTTCCGTACATGCTTATTTTCTATATATAAGATCACTATTCACTGTTTTAATTATTCAATTTGGATCATATCTTATCGGCAATAAAGACTTTGCATCGTTAACGTGTGTCGGACAGACTGGGGATCGGTGCAGGAATTAGACTGGTATTCTCTCTAACAAACACACAAAACTAGCAAGAATATACTTTCTTGGCTATAAGGTCTTTGATACTTTTTACTTACTGATATTATTATTGCTGTACATGACTCGGCGAAATCTGGTCTATGTAATGAAACCCATATAAAGAGCCAGAACAAACATTTTCTTCACGTACGATGGCCGCCACTGTAAGAGATTCGTAGCAATGTTACTATACAAATATTTCGATCAAAATTCATGCCAATAACACGATTACCACGTACTCCGTGAGCAATGACCACTTCTGAGCAACTTTATCCAGAAAATTAGAAAATACAGAAAGTTGAGAAATCATTCGGGCGCTCCAGAAGTATGTGTACCAATATAGGCAACTAATTTTGTTTGCTTACTTTACATCAAGTTGTGTAAAGGGACTGAAACCTATGGGAGTATATTCACTTGGCTAACACAAACAGCCTCCGAACTCGTAATAGAACTAAAATAAGGAAAATCGGAATAATATTATTGGCCAACCCTAACCTAGTATACATACTACGGGAGTACCATCATTTGATTCTTAAAGCTATTTCTAAATTTACTATTTCAAATCATTCTAATAAACGTGTTATCGAGATCAAGAATGACTTGTGAAAACTTTGTAGCGAATTTTAGCTTCGATTATTGCATACCACTCTATTTTGCGATATAGTCGGTTAATCAACTTGCCCAAGTGAGTGAGTGCAGATCGTTTTTGACGAGTGGTAGGAATGGATGACTCATTGTACTCTCTTCAATAAATGCCTGAAACCTGTCAGAACGATGCTTGATTTATTGTCGAATGAACAAGGAAACTCTAAAACAATATTTTATTTTAACCAAGAAACAATGTTTATATAATTTTGTATAAATAGCAAAGGTCAAATACCATATAAAGTCTTTGTAAAAGTAAAACTTAACGACCTCCACATAATATTTACTTCCAGTGCACTCGGGCAGCAACCAATGGTAAAAGTATTAACAAAAAAATTTTTTCCATTCTCTTTAAGAAATATAGATACCGATTTACTAGGTCAGAGTTAAACAAATCCATCTTTTAAATACCGCTTAAAGACGTGGCCTAAGACCCACCCGTTATGTGAAGACATCGTGAACCATCATGATGACTCGGCTCTTTAAATATGATCGGCAGCAAAGCGAAAAATTTTAGAGACGTCGAAAATTTCTATCAAATTATACCACGACGAATAGGCGTTCGAATACTTGATAATTTCGGAATCGAACCAAATTTCTAAATTTATATATATGCAATTGTATGCGTTTCCCCGATTGCTGTGAGTCCCTCAGGCACTGAGGCGAGTGTCTAACCCAGCGTTCCCAACCTTTTTTGGTCGCGGACTATTTTCTCACCCGCGAAAACCTTTCGGACTCAAGGTGCGTTTATTGCAACCGTACTCTGTGTAAAGCAGCAATAAAACCAAACACAACAGAAGTTTAACGAATTTCAAAATCGGAAATTCGCGGCAATTACGCGTTCGTTGAAAGAGCCGACATTTTTGGCGTATAATGGATTTTTCTGTCGCACAGTATTCATTCCATGACAACGACGAAAATTTAAAATGTATTTCTATTTTAATTTAATTGTGTACATCATGGTAACTCGCGGTTGCGTCGACTTACGACAAGAGGAAACATTACTTTTTTAAAAATCCACTGCCATCTGCGAACATAATAATGAGAGAATATATTGTCTGATTATTACTTATCTATCTCAAGATCGGTAAGTATGTTGATAGGTATTTGTCTGTTTGTTTGTTTGTCTGTTAGATACACGCGATATCTCACGAAAGCGAGGATGAATTCGCTCCAAATTTTGCATATGCATGCATCATATCTCGGATCAGAAGCCTATTGATTTTTGGATGAATTATGTCGTACAATTAGCGAGTTAATAATTAATTAGTGATGGGACACAAGGTGTCACTATGGAGTAAGAGCGCTGTTTTGGGGGATCCCCTAACTTTCGATCGATAAGTCTTCGGTCTCTGACCGATATTCTCGTATGCAGCTTTGATACATATTTTTTGCGATTTTTGCAAATTTGTTATCGCTGTTAGAAAAAATCATACTATGTGCTATAAATTTCCAGAATGTATAGTATTTATTAAAAATATATTTGAAGTATATATATTAGTAAATCAAAAATACATATTCATCGTCCTAAAATTCTCGCGAACAGCTTCTGAAGTAATCGTCGCATATACGTCACTCGTTAAAAGAGCCGACTTTTCAATGATTTTTTCTGCAGCATAAACTATTCCATCCATCCACATGTGTGATTCTTTTAATCTGCGCTTGTGTTGACGAAATAAGAGCAATACCATCAGAAAATACCATGTCAATCCGTGGACAGAAAAATGCGTGGGTAAAGTGCCCGATTATATCTTGTTCTGATTCGTATTTTTGTAAATTCGACAAATCTGTGTGAATTCGACATTACTACTTTGCGTACCAATCTGGAGGCAGTAAAGCAGAGAATCCTAAAGGAAAATGCCCTGGTACGTATACTACGGTTGCACCCGAAATTTTGCGATTTGCAATGTCAAAAAAAGCGTTTTTAATCGGTCGCGGACCGCTTTTCAATTTCGAAAATTTGGGCTGCCATCATTTACACCTACCAAAATTTTTTTTATTCCTCGTTGTTCGAACTCGCGAGAAACACCTATTACGAATCTATCGAAGCGTGTACAGACTCATGTTTTCGTCGGAAATCCACAAGTGAGTTGTGAAATCCAATCGTTTGATTAGGCGACTCGCAAGTGACGTGTCGCGTCACATGTTACCAAATTTTCCATTAGTAAATATGCTATTCCAATAGTTGATTATTCGCATATATGCCCAGCCCTACTCAGTAACCAGTAATTATTGACGCGATTAATGTCATGTGAATAAACTGACTTTTCATGTTTTTTGTAAATTCTAACGCAAATACTAACTTGGCTGATAGTTAATTAAGTTTCGCAAAAACGTTTGCGGCCCGCAGTGAATTTCTGACTCGTTGCGGACTGATTTAAACGCTCTGCGGACTCATTTGAGACCGCGGACTCGGGTTGGGAAACACTGCTCTAACCAGTGATACCCAAACTAGGGTAATCTCCCTCCAAAAACGTAATTAGATAATTTTAGGAGGGATTTCCATTGTCGCAACACAATTTACTATTTACTCGCCATCTTTTTGGCCACTTTGCGTGAAAGCTGAGAGCGCAGTGTTCGCATCTAGTTAATAAACATTGTTATACCACAATGTAGTTTGTCTCACGGTTGGTAGATGCATGCAATCTTCATTGTTATTACAGCTGCAGTGAAGCTTAATTCTATGTGAATAGGTGAATTGAATGCTGTTGAGATGACTTCAGAGAAAACCTACGAAAAGACTTTTTTATAATTCGGTTTATACATTCGAAATTTCTCAGCGTGAGTATCCAAATCTTAAAATCGACTTCAAAACTTTGTTTTTTGAAAATTTTGTGTTTGCTCCCAACGTGAATATGCCATCCGTTCCAAGGCGTCATAAACATTTTTGATTTAATGTCATTCAACTTATTCTCTGCGATGGCATCCATTAAAACAAAATATTGGGTCAAGCTCAAAATCAACGATGTTTTGTCATCCGCATAAACAACAGGTGACCAGATAAGATGCCTTGTGTTGGGTGTTATATGCTTTGTGATTTTAATTCTTTGATTGCGCGTGGTTATGACCTCACAATAACTCTATACTATAATTAGGCTTACCATGTATATCTGAAGTATACATCTTATATCCTCCATTAGTCTTTGCTTCATTGAAATCTTTCTTCAACTTTTATTTTTTATTTTATATTTATAACTGTCAAATATACTGCATAACCAGGAAATTCAGGTCTATCGGCCTGGACGGCGGGACTGTCCCAGATAAACTGGGACGTATAGTCAGTCAAACTATGATAGTCATTATCAGGGGTCGGCAACC